GCAAAACTATGGAGACGTTATAACAATTAGTAGTTGCTGGGGTTGGAGGGGAGGGGGATCAATATGTGGAGCACGGAGAATTTTTAGGGTTGTGAAACTGTTTTGTATGATACTATAATGGTGGATACATGTCATTATACATGTTTCAAAACTCACTGAATACAAAACAGTAAGAGCTAACCATATGGAAACTGGATCTTGGGTGACAAGGACATGTCACTGTAGTTTAGTAGATGATAACAAATGTACCTCTCTGGTGTGCGATGTTGATGTGGGGAGGCTGTGCCTGGGGGAGGCAGGGGATACATAGGAACTCTGGTACTTTCCACTCCATCTGCTGTGAACAGAAAACTGCTCTAAAACACGACGTCTACCAATAATGATGGTAAAGAATGACAGGTAAAACTTAAGCAAGTCTGATAGTGAATAAACTTTAATTAATAATAATCTTTCCCTATTTGTTCACGGGTGGAGACAAGATTACCATATTAATTTAAGAAGTTACTAAGGGATACTATATAAAATGTGAAGTACAGAGTTATCTATGTAACTTCTCTGTAAACCTAAAATCACTCTATAATTAAAGTTGTAAGAAAGACAGCATTATAGAGAGAGAGGATGTTTATAATTTATCAGGGTGTGGGTACACTGCTCATTTATAACAAAAATCAAAAGAAGGGGCCTCCACATAATTCTTCTCTAATTGTCTGTGGCACTGTGCTTGGTCTCCCTAAGCCTCCTCATCTGTCCCATGAGGGTCCTGGGCACCCTATCTTCCTGGCGTTCTTGTGAAACAGAAGACAATGCACCTTTACATATGGCATCTCCAGGAGTTAGAGGTCCCTCATCCTGGGATTGAGAGGAGGCGGTGGGGGCTGTGGCAGCCGGAACCTCCCATGAACTTTCTTGGGCTCAGCCCCAAATCCCCTGCAGTTTTCCTCAGGGAACTGAAAAGCTTATCATTTTCTAAGTACATCATGGTGTGAGAAAATTTTAGGGCACAGCCTCAGCACAGTGCCGAGCACACTGTGAGCCTCACTGGGAGTGACCCTGCATTGCTCCCCATGGACACCAATGAAGGCCTGGGCAGCCTGGGGAGGAGCAGGGCAATGACACCATCACAGAGGAGGTGGCCTGTGAGCTGGGCCTTGAGGGATGAGGTGGTGTTTGCAGACACAGCGGGACTGGAAGGGCACTCCAGGTACAGGGAACAGCAGAAGCAAGCATAGGAGGAGAGTGAGCTCAGAGTATTTAGGAGATGGTGGGTGAGTGTTTCAGTGTGACCAGGTAGCAGTGTGTATGTGTGGGTCTGTGTGTGGTCTGTGTGTGATGTGTCTGATTTTGTAAGTGTGTGTGTGTCTGTATAGGTGTATGTGTGTGGGTGTGTACCTGGAAATGAGGGTGGAATGACAGCATGAGCCAGGCAGGAAAGTGCTGCACAGTCTGGTCTGATCTTGTGTACCCCTGTGTAGAAGGGAAAGATCCAGGCAGAAGTTGGCATGGGAGTCACAGGAAGGGGAAGGACCATGGGAAGCCAGTGACATATGTGTCATATTTTCTGCCTAATCCTAGGAAAGCACGTCTCAGAAAGTTCCTGGAATCCATGGGATTCCTGGTGATTATGTTTTGTATTCTGACCTGTAATCTTCCTCCAGAAAGAATTTGCCTGAGGAATAAGTAAAATTTTTCACTGAGCAGGAGACCACACTGATTGATATCTCCCTGTTGAACAAAGCAGCTTTGTCTCACCGATGTCCAAATTGTCCCATAAAATAGCACATTAGGAATGCTTGTTTGTGAAGGTCAGGGCTTTATGGAGTGGTTGTAAGGACCACAAGGATGGACCCAAGGGGAGCCAATGTTACAAAAGACTTGGAGTTTTGGAAATATTCATACCTGGTGGAACTCATGCAGAGACCCTTTGAAATACTGAGTGAACCAGCCAACATTCATAGCTCTGTGACTGTGCAGGTTTCACACTGGTGGATCAGATTGTGGGTGCAATACAATTACAGTCACAACTTAGGGACCGTTGAACCACAGCACTACTTTTAGAAAATATGTATTAGATGCCAACTAATTTCACTTAAACAACCTGGATTTGGGAGCACCTTCTAAGAAATCAGAAAGTCTAACAGTACTGAGCCCCACTCACACGTATTCTTAAAGGGGCTGAGAGTTGACATTTACAAAAGAAGACACTCCAGTTTTCCACAGGCCCCACCACTTCCTAATGCCTATTCCAATGTCAAAGTCAGTGGCCATTTATTGTTACAGGTGTACTATCATGTTCTTGTAGCTGAGTTAAAAAAAAAAAGTGAGCCATTTCTTCTACTGAAAAAAATCCATGAAGAGTTAGATGACAAGACAGAGAGAGGTCCACATCTTTGTGGAAGTGAGTCTCTTTCTGTGTGCCTAATATGTAAATAATATACGTCTCTTTTAAATAAATACAAATTAAGACCCCATGATAATCCAAATCTGTTCTGTTTCACTTTATGTTAGTAGCTCAGCCCCAATAAAATAATTTAGTCTGCAGTCTTAAATGAGGTATTGGTCAGCACACTGTAGATGAGAAATAGCAGGTCAGAGAGGTTAAGAGGTGCAGGCAGCATCACACAGCTAAACAAATGCTGTAGCCAGAATTTCACCTTGATCATTCTGGGATGAGAATCTGTCTATAGCAGGATGACCAGAGTGAGCTCCTTGCATGTGACCTGAAAATGAATAGTTTCCACAGAAATCTCTGTATCAGAAATTTTCTCCTAACCAGCCACTCAGTGCCTGTAAATTCCTCTGCCCACACAGTAACTTCAGATGCCTCAGAAAATATAGGGAGGTAAAATGGGCTCAGTGGTTCCCCTCTGTGATTATCGTAGTTATTGTTTTACTACCACCACCACCCCACCAGATACCACTGCTGGGGACCTCACCCCATCAAGGAGTGTCTTTGCAAGGCTGAGCATTCATTCAATCCCGGACCCTGGATGGAAAGGGATGGGCTCGGAGGAAGCAGGTCTAATGGCACACGTGTAACCCCTTGTCACTAGATTCCAGCCACCACTTTCCCTGAACTGGCTCACCTGAAGGAAGGGGCATAGCTGGAAGGAACTATGAGGAGAGCTTGACAGGTGTGTGTGCTGTAAAACCCCTGGGGGCTCAGACTCCTGCATAAGTAGCCTGCCCTGCCTTACACCACAGTTGAGACAGCTGCAAGCCTACTTGCTCACTCACATCTGGGATCTCTCTGGGTCTGCTTACTCACAACGAGGTAAGAGCTGTGCTCTCTCAAGAGCTTCATTACTCAGTCTGGCTTTTCTCACCACCCAAGGACCTGGCATTCCTTGGGTCTGGATCCTATCATCCTGGACAGTAGTGGCTGAGTCCCATTGCTGTGAGAAGTGATGGGGTCTTCATCTGACACACTCAACCTCCTGTCCCATCCTTCATTTCTCTAGCCCATGCTCCTGTCACTGTCTGTTCTGTTCCCAATCCTAGACAGTGGTGGCCCGATTCCCAGGGTGGAAATGACATCAGGGCCACTTCCTAAAAAAGTCTTTTTTCATACAAAATTTTGGTTTTTACCTCAGTAGAGATTGGATAATAAGAATCATTTAATCATCATGAACTATGCCAAACTAAATCAGCATAGTTCTTAGCTATTTTTCTTTTTTCTTGCCAATGTTTTCTGAAGAGCAAAAAAAGGTAAAAAGCAAGAAGTGATCAATGAGGTATGATAGAGAACAGAGAGACATGGTCTGGCTTCCCATACCAGCTTTGTGACTTGTCCACTAAGGAGCTAATCCTTGACTGTCACAGCTGTTATGTGGGGGTGACATATTAACAGCTACCTGGTAGGGCTCTTATGTGGATTTGAGGAGGTGAGGATCAAATTCTGGGCCAGTGTTTGGTACATAGTAGGTGTCAAAAGGAAATGGACTTTTCTCCCTATGAGCGTGGTGTTTGCTGTCCAACTGATAAAATCAATGCACTTTAATATGGCATTGAAGGTCATTCTGTTGGTTCACTGATTTCTTTCCAAAACTACTAAGGGCTTTCTGAACACCCAGCATTGCACCAACATAGAGCTGCAGAAATCAAGGAGGCATGATCCTGCCTTCAGACTTGCAGTCTAAATGCTCCCATTGAAATTCACTTCTTCCATCTCTAGTACACGTTGCCCAGTCAAATCTGATGACATTGTTACCTCCATGCCTTTCCTGTGGCTCTTACTTCCTCCCACAATGCTCCTCTCACCCACACAACCCACCCACCTCAGTATGTCAGTCCCATGAATGTTCAAACTCTGGGTCAACATCACCTTTCAGGACATTTCCGTGACATTTACCACGTCTTTCCCATTTTGATCATTTGTGTACATCTGGAAATGTGAGATAGAATCCAGCACATTTGAGTTGGAATAGAGATTGGAGATTATTTCACCAAACATCTTGATTTCCAGATACAAGAACTGAGACCCAAGAAGCAGAGTGACTTGTACAAGATCAAGTTGGGGACAGAAATGGGACAGACACCCTGGTCAATGCTATTTAATTTCCACAGAAAGTAGTCACTAAGATCTTTAAGATTTATGGTTTCTCATTCACCTCATTCTGTTGAACACCTAGTCCAGTGCATGGCATGTAATATGAGCTCAATAAAACTTGTTGAATGGGAGAATGAGAGAGTGAAGAGTGAGAAATGCAGCAGTAAGTGGGTGAGGCCAGGAGGAGTGAGAGCTAACGAGGCTCAGAGAGTGTAAGGACAGGATGAAGGGTGGCGGTGCTGTGACAGTGTAGACTGAAGTCAAGTGGACATGTTAACGCTCAGGCTGCTGGTCTAGTGATTCCAGGATCCAGAAGGATTCTTGGTCTACTCCTAAATTAGGCAGGCATGTGGCAGGGTGGAAAGAGAGGAAAGCCTGGTGTCCAGCCCTGCTGAGCTGATGCCCAGCACTGACTCATCTGTCTTTTGTCAAACAGGTGCCCCCCAGCTGAGCTATGAGGATCCACAGCCTCACCCTGCTGTCCTTTCTCCTTCTGGCAACTCAGGTGCTCTTGATGCATGTCCAAAAGGAATTAAAGATAAAACAGGGCAGTGCACCAGACGTGGATCGCTGGGTCACTCTAGGACCCCCCAGGCCTGGGGCAAATGTCCAGCAATCTGAATTCCTGGACATAGGCAGCTTTACCACCAGTGATCAAGCCAAGTGCAGGGGGAGCCTGGCTGAGAAGGGGGAAGGCGTTGCCGTAGTAAAGATCGACTGCACTCAGAACAGCAGCCAGTTCTCCTGTGTCTTTGAAGGCAATCCAACATCATGCCTGGCATCTTTGGAGCACATCTTTGACTACTGGAGACAAATTATTGAGAGCTTGAGACTCCAGAAAAACATCTGTGGGGACTCCTCAGCCAAGCTGACGACCAGTGTGTGTGGTAGCAATTTTGAGGAATCCAATCTCAAGCTGGTGAGCTCCACTCTACTCAACCACTAGAATCCCAGGTGGTACAACAAGTAGCCCACCCACCAGGAGAATATGAAGATCAAGGTGAAGCCCACCACTGAGCAATGACAACTGTCTGGCCTGAATGAGCAGCAGCGATGATTTTAGTGAGATATACTCTCTGCTGAATTAACACAGATAATAAAATTCTTGGCATTTATCATAAATACTTTCGACTTCTGTTTGGTTTCTCAGTGTCTGGTCCCAAATGAAATCATAAAGGCGTCTCCATATATGAGTGGAAAGAAATATCTATGGAACAACTTCCAGTTTTCTCACCCATCTCAAGATATTCCCTAATGTGACCCATTCCACAACCCCTCTTTATAGTTTTTTCTGTTGATCTGTGGTGTTTGGTGCTTACTGAGTGTAATAATTAGGATTATTGTGATCATGTGAAATAAATGGAGCATGGTGTGATCAAAGCACTCATCAGAGTCTCATAGATGGTAGGAGGGGAGGCAGGGTTGGAACCCAAGATTTCTGGAAGTTGAGTCCACAGGCTTGGGTTAGTTGGGGGAGGCTTCTCTACTGACTCAAGTCAGAGCTGCCCATTACCCCCATCACATGCAGGACCTCTACCCTTGTAGAGCTCATGGCTAGGATGGGGGAGAGAGATCTGGTTAACTACAGTGCTCTGTGACTAGGGGTGTAATAGAAAGAGAAAGAGAGGAGAAAACTTCATTGAAAATCAGAGCAAAGAGACAGAACCTATTGGAAAATCTGGGGTTAGCCTTCACAGAGGAGGTGACATGGGAGCTGGGTTTTGGAGAAAGTATCTTTGGCAATGAAATGAGACAGAGTGCAGACCCTTTAGGCATATCCCAGCATGAATGAAAGCAAAGATATGTGAAAGTTCCAGAAACTGGGAGAGGACATGCAGCTGGATTAGTCATTTGTACACTGGTATGAAGAATGATTTATTACAAAAGTTGGAAAGAGAGGATAAATTTTTCTTATTGTCTTGTGACAATTCCACAAAGAGGGGAAAGTGAAGAGCAGGAGTTGGTAAAATCTTAGTTCTTTAGCTTCTGTGATCGTGTCAGGAAGCAAGGGCAGGTGGCATGAAAAGACATCCTTTTAAACTCACTAATCTATGAGGAAGTTAACTGAGGGTTGTCAGTGGCCAGTCCACAGTGCAACGGCCTCAGAGTGACACTTGGATGCCATCATCAACATCAAAAAATTAACATTTATCTATCACTTGCTGTGTGCCAGGCACCAGGCTAAGCTCTTCCCAAGGACTGTACATTTGTTCATTCGTTCACTCACTCAGCATCTGATATATGGAGCACTGACTCCTGCCAGGCTGTGTTCTTGGTGCTGGAGATACAGCGATGGATACACCAGAGACGGATGCTCTGTTCTCATGGAACTTACCAGTGGGGAAAATGATGATCAACTTATGATTTTAGAAGAGTTAGAGAAGAAAATTAAAGCAAGGTAGAAGAGAAAAGTAAAACACACACACACACACACACACCAAAAAAAAAAAAAAAACAAAAAACCACCAATGAGTTTTAGATGGGTCAGTTGAGAGAGGCTTCTCTATGGAATTTACATTTGAGCCTAGACCTAAATGAAGAAATTGAGCCAGGTGACTCTTTCATGTAGGAACATTTCAAACGAGGGAGCTCTCACAACAAATGCCCTGAAACTATAATTCATATTTTCTCTGCCATGAGCACATTGTAGGTAGTCTACAAGCAGAAAATAGCAGCAATAAAAATAGAAAAATATCCCTGTCTGTATGTCATTTATTTTCCAATGAGAGGGACCATTTTTGACATGTCAGAGAAATGTCAAAGATTGGAATGTCACTATAGGATGGGACTGAGGGCCTGACCTATGCCTTACCATCATCTCTAATAGAACTGAGCCAATATCGCAGACCCTCCCCATGCTCCTTCTAGTCACAACAGGGAAAGGAGATTTTCCTTTATGGTCTACACAGAGTCTCAGCCCTGCGGCCCTCTACTTAACTAATGCAACTCAATTCAACATGGTACTGAGAAAGGAAAAGATGATAAACACTTCCAGGGATTATTAAATAATAACTCTGCTCTAGTCTGGGTTGTCATAAACATTGGAGAACCCACCCCAAATCCTCCTTAAGGTCTCTTCCAGTACGTGAGGTTGCTGCTTGTCCTATTTCACTTGTGACCTTGGCCACTGGCAGAACTGGGAGGAGCTTTGCCTTCCAACATGGTGGAGTCAGCTGCACCTAGGCCAGAGGTTTGCCTCTGCCGATAGCTAACCTGTCTCTGGAACAATTATTTAACTCTCTGGCCACCAATCGGCTCATCTGAAAAATGGGATAATGAAATACATCTTTAAGGGCTGCTGGAATATTAACATTGGTCGACATTTCCTAGGCATTTACTATTACCCCACCATTAGTAGTAGATGCAAAACACGTAATCATTTAGAGTCCACAGCATAAAGCTAGACTGTGGAGGGAAGTCAAAATTTTTTCTGTGAAAACTCTTTAAAGGTGAGAGTTTTGTTTTTTTCACCCTTAGGCAATATGTGAACAGGAATCATCATTATTGATCACCTACTAAATGCCAACGACTTTGACCTCATTCTCTTATTTTTTTTTTTTTTAATTTTTATTTTGTCAATATACAATGTATATGATTATTATGGC